AACGTGTCATTTTCTCCCCAGTCACAGGTAGGCCATAAGCGATCTGTCTTCAAAGTAGTGGTTTACTGTTCCTAAATTTACTAAATAACAACATGTTTCAGGCAAAAAGGGGTATTTTACTCTACTTGAATCTTTTGATCCTGGCTAGTACTAGACTTAAGGAAGATCCCTTTAAAAAGAACAAGTGCTGGCTACATATTGGAGATTACTTAATGAAATTGGAAGCTAACTTAAACCCATGCTAGATTTTGGTGGTGCTGCTTCCTTTCCTGTACCGGAGGCTTACTGAGAGTTTAGGCTTGTAGTTCTTCAGTGTTTATGACTTATGCATATTCACACTTTAGCAATGGAACGCAGCATGTTAGTCAGAACAAAGCTTTGAGAATAAAGCCAGTTTCAATTAGAAGTCCCAGTGAAAGATTACAAAAGAAACAGGAAAGAGCCTTCAAAGACAAAACCCTATTTTATTGCTCTTCACTGTTTTTTTACAGGCCTCAAGAAAAACAATTTATAAACTACCTTCAGATTTTATCATAAGGATTAGAAAGTAAAAGCAACTTCTGCTTTAACTAAAAAAAAAAACAACAAAACCCCCCCCACAAAAACAACACGTGTACAAGAGGAAAAGGATTAAAAATGACTGCTAAAGCAGCCAGTGCATATTCAGCTGTCCCATAAAGCAAATAGGACAGTATTAGACTGAACTGTGTGCTGACTTTAGTTCATTATTCATTCCCTCGACGACTCTTCTTGTGACTTTTCTTAGATCTGAAAGAGAGAACAGTTATGTGTCACAGTTCTAGTAACTGTTTTAAACAAACAACATGAATTACAGCAATAAGTGGTGTTTTACACAGCCACGTGTGGATAGTGTAACTAGAAAACACTGAATGAAGTACTATATCAAATACTTCATTTACTACATAGTAAGAAGACCTTCAATCCCCAAGATTCAATGACAAGCATGAGCTCTTACAACCAAACACCCATCCTTAAGAAATGTGCCATAAAATAATACCTTTCAGGTGATTTGGAATGACTTCTGTGTCTGTGACTACGATGATGTCCTGTAAGACAGAAAAAGACCAAAGTTACTTCCATAGACCCTGGAGGTCTTTTTTCTTTTGCTCTTGCAATCTGCTTCTAATTGTTCTAGCTAATTAGGCATTCAAATTAACCTCCTGCCAAGTATCTGAAAAGTGTACCTGGGCAATTTTGTGAGTATTGGAGCAGTTCTCAACACTTTCATATAATTAACCACTTTATAAACCAGATTAAGCATGTAAACTACCTTTTGATACTATGACACTGATTTTTCTTTCAGTAGATGTCGTCTGGTTAAAAAAAAAAAAAAGCCAGCTTAATTTAAAAACTACAGAAATACCTGGAGATTTAGATCTTGATCTGTGGCGCCTCTCCCTGGATCTGCTCCGGTGCCGTCGTGGGCTTTTGCTGCGATGCCTCTCCCGGCGTGGTGATGGACTGAGAGGAAAGAAGCTTTTAAGACAGCCGTGCTACAAACATACGTTTTAACATAAAGTAACAGAATAAAAGACTACCTTCTTCTCTTTGGAGAGCGGCTTCGCCTGTAATTGAGGGAGAAAAGCAGCATTAAAATTAATAACAGAAACACCAGTTTCATTCCCTACACACTCTAGCAACTGCACCCTACACTCTCCTATAGCCTACAGTAGCAGTTGATGGGCTTGATGCACAAGGGGCAGTACATGCTTTGGTCTGGCCCATGCATTGAGCAGAAGGGTTAAGTGATGATTCCTTTCTGGCTTGCTACCAGGAGGAACAGTAACTGGATTTTCTCTCAAAACTTCAGCTTACATGGAAACAAGCATCTTCATTCTATTATCAGATTTAGCTAACAGTGGCCAACAAGTTCAACAGTTACTGAAGATCAAGGGAAACAGTCAGATGTCAACTGTGACTGCACTGCTCCTTACTTTAGGAAGTGGCTAAAGAATGTGGAAAGTGTAAGAGATTCTGGGCCTAAATTGTCATCTTCTCCTTCGTGCTTCACTGCAGCCCCCCGCAGCACAACAGGTAAAAATATTGCTGAAAAGGAGCCACGTTTCACCTTCGTGGAGACCTGCTTCGGCTCCGCCTGTATCGTATAGCTGGAGATCTGCGAGGTTTGTCAAGGTCTCTGTAGCCTCTTCTGCGGTGATCAGGAGACGGTACTCGCTCCAGCTGGGAACAGCGGGGGAAAAAGGTTCTGTAAGTCCTTCATCGAGGTTTTATTTATAACAAGGAATTCTGAATGATAAATCTAAGTGAAAAAAGAGGAAATAAGCCATCCAATAACATTTTCCTTAATGATGAAGGAAATCCTTAGGCCTATCTCATAGAAAGGAGAAACTGCAGCACAGCTAAGAATAGCAGATGCCCAGTGCATAAACTCACTCCAGTAGTATGTTTCTTTGATATATATGGAACTGAGTTTCAGGGTCAACAGAAATCAAGCCTTGTATTCTTCAAATATTTCATATTCCTGTATGAGTGATACTGCCCAAATTTGGTAACTGGAAATTAAAATGGCTGCTTTCATACTGTTGATTCTTAAATAGCACAGCAGATTTGACTACAGTTGTCATCATAACCTTCACCATCTTTACTTGTTGGATATGTAAAATAATAGATAGATAAAATAATTTATCTAAAACATGTTTAAGTAGCACAAAAGAGATTCAGAGCTGTGATTTTCAGCAGGCAGGAAAGCCTGACAGACAACACTTCAGAGCTGCTTCAGGATCTAAAGCGTTCTCACAGGCAGCTTATGTGAAAATCCATTAAGGGAGGAGCTGAGAGTTGCAAACAGCTGAGATCTCTCCAATATTTCTCACAAACCCACACAGTTTGTGGCAGTTCCAGCACTAGCATTACCTTTTCCTCTATAACATGTCACTAACCTTTTCATCTTCCTCTTCTTCCTCCTCACTAGATTCTACATCATCCATATCTTCTTCCAGAGCACTAACACGAGGTTCAAGTTGCTCAGCTTCTTCCAGAACATATCGTTTCTAGGAGAAATTACAACTTTATTCTTGGGCTATATATAACATAAGCACCAAAGAGGCATCTGACATGCCCAAAGATTCTTAATCATAGCTTCATTCAACTACTGTGCTATGCCAGTAGCTGATACAACTGCTGAATATGATGCAGTTAAGACCATTTGTTTCTCCAAACCTGCAATCGAGGCAGAATTATATCGCACACACGTTCCTCGTGGAGCAGTTCATCAATAAACTCATCCACATGCATCAGTTCAAATTCTAGAGGGAAAAAAAATAGCATCTTAAATACATGGTCAATACTATACAAATGAGATACTTTGGACTTCACTGAAGGAGCTGCACAAACAATAGCTTTAAAATTTTTCTTAATGGTGAAGGAAATCCTTAGGCCTGTCTTGTAGAAAGGAGAAACTGCAGCACAGCTAATAGCAGATGCCCAGTGCATAAACTCACTCCAGTAGTATGTTTCTTTGATATATATGGAGTTGAGTTTCAGTGTCAACAGAAAATGCCAGCACTTGGGGAAAGCAAAATAAGAAAGGCAGTTCTTATTTGTACAAGACTCACAACATGATATCGCAAGGATAAGTTAGTAAAAGTGGTGTTTCAAAAGGATAGTTGAGTTCCATTTTTTAACTTATGCATTATTAAAAGAGAATATTTTTCTAAAAGAAACACCTGTTAAAGAGGCCACTAATGCACTGAGAAACCATAACCACATCAGGTTGCTTACCCCCATTTCTGTTCTGACTTTTTATTTTTCGATAGTCGTTGTACAGTGGTTCAAGATACTTGTAGCAGTCAATAGCTGTGCCTGTCAATCTCATGTACAATGCACCAAGCATTCGGACATACCTGGAAAGTAAACCATTGCACATATCTGAGCTTTCTGCACAGTCAGCAGTTTAAAGAAAAATCATTCCCAGAATTTTATGAGAAAAACAGTACCCTACAATAAAGAGTGTCTGTATGGATCTTCTCCTTCAAATACTCAAGCACGTGCAGCATCCCAGTACAGGTTGTTTATATGTGCAGAGCTGCATTATCACTCCCAGAAGATTAAAGAAACACTTTAGAGAAAGTAGGTGATTATGGCTCTGTTAATGCACCTCACTCCCAGTATTTCAGGCTGTGTTACTGCAGAGAACATAAGCCATAAAGGCGAATGTTTTCAGCAGCCCAGCAACAAGAGGAACAAGCCTCCAGAAAGCAAGAGTAAGGCCAGGCTTTAGCAAGAAGAGCGCATTTACAGAGGTTTGTGTACAGGAAGCTGAACCCTGCTCTGGAGCTTCCCTGGCAGTTCGGGACATCCACATTTCGACAAGCAAAAGAGCTAAAGGCAAGGAAATGTGCTACAGACTTACTTGAAGTCCTCATTTTTTATGAACTCCACAATGATGTCCTTCTCGGGCTGGATCTGCAGCATCTTCAGCGTCAGGCACAAGAAAGGCGTGGGTTTGATGTTCCCGCCATAGACGCCCCCCACGTACTTCAGCTCCATGGCCTTGTCCACCACCAGCTCGGCTGCGAGATGAACAGCCATCAGTGCCGGCCTCCCCTCGAACTCCCCGCCCGACCCAGCCCGCCATACCCGTGAGGCCGAAGCATTCCTCTTTCCAATACTTGGACTCGTAAATGCGGGTACGAATGATCTTCTCCACAAGGTACTGCGGGTTGGTGCCGTGGATGCTGTGCGCGTCTTTCACCGTGCGGTTCGCCATGGCGGCCGCCCCCGGCTCCCCTCCTTACGGCGGCAAACACACTCACCCCACTTCCGCGAGGAACAGTAACAACTTCCGCTTCCTGTCCCCCACCCCGCCACGTTCTTTTTGGGCAGAGCATCACTTCCGGCACCCCTTCCAGATTCAAATATGGCGGCACCGCCTGGCTACCTTCTCCCGTCCTCTCCGTTCTGTGCGCACGCGCGGCGGAGGGGGCGGGGCGGGGCTGCGGGTGGGCTTTGGCGCGAAATTCTATCGCGGGGGTGGCGGGAGCTCGCGGCGCTACCGTTGGTGCTGCTGCTGCGTGCAGGGATCGCTGAGGTTTTGCGGTGAGTGGGGCTGCGGTCCCTGAGGGCAGCGGGCGGGCGGCTGGCTGGCTGGCTGGCTGGGTTGCTCGTTCTGTGAGGGCGCTTCGGGGTCTCTGCGGGTTCGACCCCGTCCGGCGCCATGGCCACGCGGGCTGTTTGGCGGTAGGAAAGCAACCGTGGGGACGGCGGCTCTGAGGCCAAAAAAGGAAGAGGGAGGGGAGATGAAGCGTGCGCGACTGTTTCACCCGCCGCGTTCGTGGGAGATGGGCGAAAACCAGCGAGGAGAAGCGCTCAAACGGCCTTCGGTGTGCGAGGGCATTGTCAGGGAAAAGGGGGCCCTCAGGGCGGGTTTAACCCCGGCGGTTTAACGCGAGCGGCGGGCGGGGACTGAGGTTGGGAGCTGGGGCTACGTCTTAATCTGCAACGCTTGGGGGAACCGGGGACTGACGGCCATTCCCGCGGTTTGGAAAACTTGAGTGTTGTCCCCTCTTATTTTTAAGCTATAAGCGATAATTGCTCGCTTATGTGCTTATTCTTTTCCTCAGGAATCATGGACACCGGTCAGCAGAGCAAAATCATTTATTCCTGGTATGGAAAGCCCATGAGCTCAGACAGAAAGCTGAGGACTCTGCAGTACAAGTAAAAAACGTTTGTTGCTGTTTTTCTTAGGGGGACGTAAGCAGTAAGCAGTGACACTTGCTTTGCCTTTTTGATGTCACTTAGGTTAATTGGGCTGTGAGAAAATTACTAAATAACAGTAGTTTTGTCGTACTGTCATGACATTGTGTGTGTACCACAGAAAGTGTTGTCATAAAGCTCTTGAAATGTAAATTGCGTGTTTGAGCATAAGCACTTAATTATAATCTGTAAATAAGTGTTAACTGCCTATTCAAAATACAAGTGAAGGTTTTTAATTGGGAAGTTTTGTTGTTGTTTTTAAACTTTAGTCTTTGTTGGAGGGGCTATAAGTGGCTTTAAGTTGGGCAGGAGGTCAGATTTGATGGCATGTGAGTTGTAAAGGATGTTAAACTGTCTGCATCATTTTCTAGAGGAATTCTTATCAAATCAGAGAGAAGCAAAACAGAAAGATGTATACAGCTTGGTGACTTTGTTCTAATAGAAGGGGAGAATGCAGATCAACCTTTTGTGGCACAACTCCTGGATTTGTACGAAGATGGTAAGAAATAAAAACTCACCTCCTACATGAGGAATCTTAAAATGCTTTAAAGATAACTATACCATGGGGATGTGATTAGCATTAATGCTGTATTGCTGCTCTAAGTTATTACAGGAACGGGACTGTGCTGATCACTGCTTGTGTATGCACGTTCTCCCTAAAAGTTTGGTGCCAATTTCATCTAAATTGGATAGCTAAATGCAGTTGAAAGGCTTTAAAAGGCACAGTCTTTTGCTTACTTGTTTACTTCTAGAATAAATAGTCCTTGAGGAAGGCAATGTGAGCTCTTGCTTCATTTAGATATTGGAGAATCCCACTGGAACAAGAGTGCTGCAGCCCTGAGACTTACGTGTTATTAGACACCAAGGATTTCAGTGTAACATACACAGCTGAATAAATAGGCTTGTCACTTCTGTCTCTTATTCGTACTACTTATACTGCTTATTTGTAGGTAGAGGCAGATATGAAACGATAAGTCATGGCAGGCAAGTGGCACAAAGGCTATGTAGAGTCTGAATGAGAAACTATTCATTAGCTAACCCTCATTTCTTTCAACAGCTGTTGTTTCTTTTGATCTGCGTTGATAATATTTTGTGGGTTTTCTCATTCAAAACAAAAATACATGGAATGATGCGTATTTGTAATGCACATTTATTGTAACAACTGAATATTCTTTTCATGCTGGACTGAAATTTATCAATCTTTCTTGAAAAGGTTTTCCATGTCTTTGACAGAGTCGTTAAAGATGCTTGGTTTTGTTTTCATTTGAAGATGAACACCTTAAAATATGAATAGGAGCATAAAAACTGTATTATGTTTTAAATTTCTTTTAACTCTATCCATGAGGAACTTTCTCATGCCGTTTATTCAGACTTTCTTCTCTGGTATTTCACAGCAGGATTCTCTGGTTCGTTAGTCAGTGAGCAAACATTTCTGGTTTATCTTTAAAATAACCCTGAAATTAGCAGTAATGTTATGAAATTTCTCAGTTCTCCTTTTATGTCCACTGCTTAGTGGAGTTAGATCGCATGCGTGCCAATATGGAACCTCTTCTTTTGTGACAGTGAAATGTTAGATTATTACAGAATGGCTTGGCTTGAGAAGGACCACGAAGATCATCTCGTTTCAACCCCCCTGCTATGTACAGGGTAGCCAACCAGCAGACCAGGCTGCCCAGAGCCACATCCAGCCTGGCCTTGGATGCCTCCAGGGATGGGACATCCACAGCCACCTTGGGCAGCCTGTTCCAGTGCCTCACCACTCTCTGTGTGAAAAAGATTAGCTGATCTAAGTGAATTCTGTGATTTGAGGCTTGGCATAGGTATCATCGTAAGCTGTGTCAGTCTCAATTCAGATATCAACTCGTCAATGACATCAGTTAATCATCAACTCAGACTCACAGTCTCATATCAGTTACTTTCTCACCTATGTCCATGTTGGATTTTTATCCTTGGTGGCTCATTTCTAGGCATTTTTGTTTCGAATTTCCCAGTGTGTGAGGAGGGAACAGATACGGGAGTTTTGTGGAACTCCTGGACAAAGAGCCTGCTTGCATGGGTTCTAAGAAATAAGGCTGGCATTTTCTTAACATTTACATAACTACATACATTTGTAAATTTACTTCTGTGCACACATGACTGACTCCCAGAGTAAAGCACTTAAGTACTTGTTATGTGACATTTCAAAATAAAAGGCTCTTTAGAAACAGCTCTCTTTAGATCAGGCTTTAGTTCTTTGACTGAACTATACGGAAGATGCACTTTAAATTTAAATTCTCAGTGAAATTCCCCAGGATCAGGTTGTTCAATCTTTCTCTAAATTAATCCAAGTCACTCCCAGCAAGTGCTGTAGTGCCCAAAGTTTTCCCTGACTGTCCCACGTCTGTCTAGCGAGCGCTGAACAACGTGGCTGTGGTATCCCTGTGGTTCACCAGAAGTGTGCGATTCCATCCAGTAACCAGTGGCACAGCTGTGGTGCCCTTAATGTGGTACTGCAGTAGTGATGAATTGGAATCCTGAGCTTTGATGTTATTAAATGTCACTCTTCTAAAGTATTTGCATTGCTGATAGTATAGAACTGTCTGCATACTTTCTTGCCAGAGCTATGAGAGCTGTAACTTCTGCATCATTTGTCAGTTTCTAGTTTTGGCCTTAACTCTGTTTGACCTAGAGCTAATTTATCTCCCTCATTCATCTGGAAAATTTTTCATCCTCTTTTTTTCTAAATTTATAACTTTTTTCTCAGTAAAAAGTTAAGGAAGAACACTGCTTTTCAGTACATAAATGCAAAGTGTCTTGTGCAGTATTTTAGTTGAAGTCACCAAGGTCTGGTAAGAACTATTTGTGGCACGAGAGAATCCTTAGTGTTCATTTTCTTTTCATTTGTAGGGGCTCAGCAGAAGCATGCAGTTGTGCAGTGGTTCACTCATATTACAGAGGTACCTAAGAATAAGCAGAAACTGCTTAAAAGAAGGATTTCTTCCCAGGAAGTGTTTTTTGATCTAGTTTCTGGCTATGACACTGACATAGCTGTGGAGACTATCATCGAAAGTGTGCTGGTACGTACTGCAGCCTATCTACATGCAGAGGGAAAAAAGAAACAAACAATTTGGAAAACAGAACAGTGCAGCTGCTTCACTTCCTTCTGAACTGAACGTGCAAGGTGCATTTGATTGCTAATGAAGTTGTGCAGGATGGTTGAAAACTCAGTACTCCTCCTTTCTTCCATCCCCAAATGACTTTGGTTATGGGCAGCCAGCCCATCTAGAGGATTGCATGGAAGGAAGTAATGTGATGGAGGCCTGTCATGGTTTGACAGGGCCTGTAGCAGGGTAACACTGTGCCAATTGTTTTGTAGGCTGAACTCGTTGCCATTTTTAATGAAGATCCATGAGTTCCAGCCATGAGATATGTGAAGAGAAAACGGTTGAATGCTAAATTAGCAGTATGCATGTGTTGGTATTTTTTTCTCCTTTTTCAGGTAATACCACTGCGTCTGAAGGATGAACTACCTACTAGATTAAAAAAGGAGAAAATCTTCTGCGTGAAACAGTCTTGGGATGGGAAATGCTTTAGGGTTTTGTCCCCAGACACGTTCTCTATGCTGAATGAAGCTAACAAGAAAGGAGATGGCATCCCAAACTCTGTCAGCTCTTTTGTTCCTTCGGAGATCACTTCCTCTGTGAAAAAAGAGACCAAGAAGGTTGCTTGGAGTGCCCCAAAAACAAAAAATGTTGAGATGGAAATAGAATCAAAACATTCTGCTTCTAAGTCTTCCCTTTCTAAGAAGAGACATTCGCTAAGAATAGATAATGGCACCAAAAATCCAACTGCAAGAAAGAAGTTAGATTTGAGCAGTATGTATATGTCAGTATGTGTATTCTGTCCATTTGGTTGTTTTGGATGTAGTATTGTGACTCCATCTTGACCTCACAATGTCTGCCTTATTTTTCCTTACTTTTCTGGCTAATGGTATACAAGAAGGTTTACGTTGGATTGACTGAATGAACACATTTGGACCATATATTCAAACTGAAAGCTGAGTGAAGTTAGAAGTGATAGAACCTGATTTTTCACTTTTCTATGTTGTTGTATTCATAGAGGGAATGCATGCTTTCCAGTAATTCAGTTTTCTGTCCACAAAGCTTAATGCCATCACGTTTCATGTAAATTACAGCTCTGAGTCATACAGTGTCTGCTGAAACTACTGTCTTCCCTGAAACTTCTAACTCAAACCATCCATGTTAAAGCCTGACAAAATCTTGCTTTTCATTCCTAGGTCCCACAAGATCTTCGAAAGGCAAACTCCTGGAAGAGGATGTTTTGGAACTTTTAGATGATGTCTATGATTCTCAACTGTTAAAGCCAACAGCTATTAAAAGAAAAGTGAAATTCACTGAAATTCTAAGCTCGCCACCAAAAATAGCTTGTGCCAATGATAAGCTGGAGTCAGTGTTTGGTACAGCAGAGCACCAGGAGGTGTTTAGTGATACGTTAAGACTGTCCCCTTATAGGAAGGTTGAAGACTCTAATGAGAAAGTCAAGAATCTTAATATGGAAGATGATGCTATAGTGTAAGTAACAGTATTTTCTTAACTATTTTTGTATTTGCATTGAGTTCACAGGCTTAACAGTAGAGCCTGAAGTTTAAAGGGCTTCCTCTCCATCATTACAAGTGTGGTCCAGATAAAAGTAGCTCTGTGTTCTTTACAGCTTAACTGGACATAAGGAGCTGGGGAGTCAGAGCCCAGCGGTGACCCCTCGTTCTCGTAGGACATGTACACAGGAGACAAGCACTCGCATTGCAGAACAAATCAGGTGAACTTTTGCTTTCATGCAATCTTGTTCAAATGTCTTTTGACACCTCAAAGCCTCAAGAGTTTGTATAGCTTAATAGAAATATTGCAGAGTGGGTAAAAACTGTCTTATATTAAGAAACATTAAGCTGACTTCCTTTAATACTTGTCTGTTAAATAGCTATGGAAAATTAATGGTTGAAGTGGAGTATAAGTTGACTTGCTGATTATAGGCACCTTACAGGAAGAACTGAAAATGTACCAAATGACACTGTAGTGAGCAGTCATATGTAGTTTATTTAAAAAAAAAAAGGCAAAAAAAAAACCCAAAACAACTGTCATTTCTTTCTGATAGCTTATTAAACATGCTAGAATCAAAGGAGACAGAGGATTTTCTGTCTAGCTCGGATGGTTCTTACTCCTCAAGTAGTGAGGAAGAAGATAGTGATGTGGGCTGCACACCAGAGAAGAAAACCAAATCGAGCAGAATGTTCAGCACCCCAAAATCTTCAAGGAAGCCGTCAGTTCACACTCCTGCCAAGACCCCAAGGAAAACAGTAAGGTTCCTTAGAGCTGCTGACATTTTAAAAGGTTTTCTTTATTGTTTCTAATCCTTTTTTTTTTTTTTTTTAATGCTCAATGCCTGTATGCCAAAGTTAAGTATCTGAGCTCCTATGCTTTAGATGAAACGGTTGTATGATTTTCAGTATGAAAATACAGTACTTGCTTATCCTCAATGTTACAACAGTGTTGATCAGAAAACTCTCCAGCCTAAGCAAAGGAAATGTTGGATTAGGCTGGAGCTGACTAGTGACTGCTGAATGTGCTGGGTTGGTTGGTTTGTTATGTGGCTGTAATGTCTTGGCTTGCTTTGAGGAAGGACAGGGGAGAGAATTAGGAAGGGAGGAAGAACATTAGCATGTCCTGAATCAGTAGTTCTTAGGCTGTGGATTCAGGTCATCTACTAGTGATACATAAGTGAAAGTCTTGTGTGAATCACTGGGCAGCTTTACAAGAGAAGAATCCCTAGGGTATAATTAGTTGTTTGGTTTTTTAAGATGATTTGAGGAAACTGTTTGAAACACCTGAATGGTGCTGTGTTTCTCAACCGCTATTCTCAAGAAAAAAAAAAAAAATAAGCTCCATGCTGGTTCAAAGGAAGGCAAGAGATAATGAAATGATGGATTTGTTTCTACATGAGAAACTACTGAAAGCGGTACATGAATTATGAATCTTAAAATGAGACAGTGTGGGAGGAGATATAGGGTAGGTGTGTGAAGTCACAAGTGGTGGAAGAGTGGAGCAGAAACTGTTTTTTCTCTCCCAGTATGATCTACAGGCTCTCAAATAAACCTGGTAGGAATTATGATTAAAAGCAATTAGTCAGTTATTCAGTGAGTAGTTAGGCTTGTGCAGTTCTTGGGCAAGCAGTATTTTTACTGTACAAATATTATGTGAATTCAGTGAACAACTGACTTAAGTACCCAAGAATGATCCATTTCTGAATAGTCTTTGGTCAGTGCAATCTTCATATATTGCAGGAAGCTGTAAGTTCAGGACTGTGCTGTGCAGTGTTTATGGCTGTGCTAAAGACAGGATGGCCAGCAGTTTGTCATAGTGTCACAGCCACTGGGCTTGGGATGGGGATATTTTGGGGGGCTAATTAAAATCGGCCTCTGTTTATGTAAAGTGTAACACAGAAATCCTAGCACAACTAGAGCTTGTAGGCACAATGAGGAAGAATATATAAGATACTGCGTGGCTTTTTTGTTTGGACAGTGAAATACAGATCATTAGTTTCTAGTTGTTTGCTCTTTCTTGAGAACCAGGTCACTTTGGAACACTGAGTTACAGAACGTAAAGAACTTTAAAGTATTTCAGCAAATCAAAAGGTGAAGTTGTCTGTGTCGCTATTTTGCCTGCTGGTTTCTTTGTCTCCTCAAGGAAGAAAAAGACCATGAGACTTATTTTGGCAATGCTTTCCTGTAAGGACCGTGCCTCCTTTCACCTTGTACTTTGACATCTCCAGGAAGTTTGTATAATCAACGTTTCAGAGGCTTATATGAATGGTCTGTTTCTGGTAGAAATCCCTGTATGTAGCACATCTGTCTGAGATCCTAATTTTTTCTTCTCAGCCCTTACTGGGAACACCCAGGACACCCCGGAATGCAACTCCTGAAATTCCCAGGCGCAGCCATGCAGCACAGAAACCAACCAGTGTACTGGAAGAAGCCAGATTAAGGTAACGTTCACTGAAGGCAGGAAATGCTAAAATAGGGTAATGTCACCTTTACCAGACTGAATAAATTCAGTGAACATGGGTAATATTTTGATTTCAGAGGAACACTAAGGAATGGACAATAAATACTATAATTAGAGGTGGCTATAGTACTACCTCTACGATTGCAAGTCATTGTAACTAGTTCTTAGTGCTAAATTCTTCAGAGTTAGGTATCTGTCTTTATTCTAACACTCAAAAAAATAAAAGCAAAGATCTTCTCTTGTAGATTTTACTGGTACTATGAGCACCATCCTACAAGCTATCACCTCTTTTTATCCCTACTATACCTCATTTCATACTATTTGATGATGATGATTGTTCAGCCATCTTAAAGCTCAAAAGCTTAAAACCTCTAGAGAGACTAGACTGTTTCATTTGGACACTTGACATTGGTGTTCAAACCTAAAGTGTGTAAGATTTAAGAACTACACAGAGCTGTGAAGGGAAGAGGTGGGAGGGACCTGCTATTTGCTTTGCCCCTTAAGGCCCTTCAGGAAGATCTGTGAAAATACAACTCTTTGGCCTCCGGTTTGTTTGACTCCTTTGTTTGTTTTAATCAAAAGGCTGCACGTTTCTGCTGTCCCAGAGTCTTTGCCCTGTCGTGAGGAGGAATTCCAGGATATCTATAACTTTGTGGAAAGCAAACTTATTGATGGCACAGGAGGGTGAGTTCGTTGGTGAGGCTGTGTAACTGAGATCACACATACCTATGGTGCACTGTCAGTCAATCAAGGCTGCTTTTATTTAAAATGCTATCCTTGTTTGACTGAAGTAAAGATCCTAGTTGAATTTTCCAGCGTGTTTTTTTTTCCTTGAGAGCTTGTTGTGTGTGTAAATAATATGTAAATATATTTCCTTTATTGTACAAATTCAAATTTAAGACAGAAATGCCTAGTCAATTTTAGATGTCTGGGAGAATATTTTTTTAACAAAGCAAAATTAGAATTTCTAAAGTATTTTAGATTGTTAGTTACTTTAATAATTAAAAAAAAAAACCAACAAACCTTATATTCTAATGTGTGACATGTCCTAATTAGCAATGAAGTAACTGAATGTAGGGAATTACCTGAAGAGACATAGAGGGAAGGGTATTCAAGGCAATCTCAGAGTCCAGGAACTCCAATTTCTTGATACTAAGAGTGTTACTCTTAGTAACTGCTAAAAAGGCGTTCTGTTTTGTAGGTGTATGTATATTTCTGGAGTGCCTGGAACAGGTAAAACTGCAACTGTTCATGAAGTGATTCGCTGTCTTCAGCGAGCTACAGAAGATGATGACCTACCATCATTCCAGTTCATAGAGATCAATGGCATGAAGCTTACTGATCCTCACCAAGCTTATGTGCAGATTCTAGAGGTGAGAAAAGCCTCCTCAGCTGCTCTCCTTTGAAAGAAGGGGAAGTTCAGATCCTCAATGTTTTATGGGGTTCAAGACAACTAACAATCAATACTTCTGAATGTTAAAACATACAAAGGGTTAAACTGCCTATTTCCAGAGTTTTGGTGTGATTAACCTGCAGTATAATTTAATTCTTGTCCAGTTACTGACAGGTCAGAAGGTGACAGCAGCTCATGCTGCAGTGCTGTTGGCAAAACTGTTCTGCACACCTGGACCAAAGAGGAAGACCACAGTGCTGGTAGTGGATGAGGTGGGACAAGGAATCCTTCCTTCTCTATCCTAAATCTTTCCTAAAGTATCATTTAAAAAAAAGGTTTTTAGAGAATGGAAGAACAGTGTGTTTAGAGCATATCATATATGATCTAAAGGAGAAGGCTTTGGAGTGAGGGCACTCAAATAGTTCCTCTTAGTCTCATTAGGAAACTGAATGTAGATAAGTGAGTCTCCTGTTGCCAAAATTCTTTGTCTTTATTTTCATGTTGGTTTTATGGCATAATGAATGCTGTCAGCTCCTAAATAGCATGGGATTGAACTGTTCAGAGCATGTATTTTATCTGGAAGCTGCATTTTTTTGTGGAGAGAAAATTCACAATGAAAAATCTAGTTTTGAAACTGTGAATGTACTGTGTTCAGTAATAATTTCTTTTTTTGCTATGATTCAGATCTTTGCATGGCTAGGTAGTTTAATTTTGTTGGATGTAATATATCACATTAGCGTTTTAAATTGCAGCTTAAGTTTGTAATGAATACTTTTCAGAGAGAGATTAGAGCTGTAATTCAAAAAATGCAGTACTATTAGCAGATTAGCAAAGGAAATGCAGAGAGACACCTTATTCAGTATTATGTGAGAAGTGTTTTGTGGCAGAACTAACTCTCAAACCTCACTGTAAGTTGTACTGTTACAAGACATTCTTTTTCAGTCAGGTTCTTATCTTTTTCTTCAGCTTGATCTTCTGTGGACCCGAAAGCAGAATGTGATGTACAACTTATTTGACTGGCCGACTCAAAAGCACTCCAAGTTAATCATCCTGGCCATTGCTAACACCATGGACTTGCCAGAGAGAATAATGATGAACAGAGTATCTAGCAGGCTGGTATGTCCTCTAACAATTAGGTTGCTAAGCTTAAAGAACTGATTGAGTCCTGCATGCAATCAAAAGTAATCTGGGAGGGAAAGGTAGAGTGGGTTACATCAGAAGTTAAATAATTATAAACAATTATAATTCTCTCTTGTCTCCGTAGGGCAGATGATCATATAAATCTTAGCAAAATAAGCACAGGAGCCAGCTCACTGGTCAGATGTTATGCTAGATAAGAACACTCTGTTCCTGTAAGAATGAATTAAGAAAAAGAAGGCAGATGTCTTTTTAAACATATTAAGTTTTGTATAATTGAATTCTGTGCATCATGGTGAAGCTGCTACTCCAGAGTTCAGAGAAATTTCCTTCTGTTTTCCCTTGCTATTTCCTCTTTCATTTCTGGCACAGATTACTTGTCTCTGTTTGCTCTAATCAGATGGTGGATTTTTTGTTCAATACCTTTGGTCAGGAAATTGGATGTACTCTATACATGTGTTTAATCCATTGTCCTAGGTCTTTGTTTCAGTGCTTCCATAAGAAGTGATTTGCGAAAACAGTGCTCTGCCTTCATCCTTCTGTGACTCAAAAATAGTGGCACAGTAACTGTGAATTGTTTTTTCCCACTCACTGAACCTGCAGATTAGCTGAAGCTCTGAGAATCCATGTAGTCAAGGGAGAGGAATTCATAAGGGATGTAAAGCTTTGCCTCCTGCAGGATGTGAAAGACAGTACATCATATATAAATCGTACATTGGCCTTCTCATCTGAAATCAGTTGTTATTAGCTTGAGCCAGAGGTGGATTTGTAGTTCACTGCTGGTTGTTGACTTGCAGGTCTAACATTAAGTCAACAGTGTGACTGTATGCATGCACATAGACATGCTAAAGAAGAGGTGGATAGTTTTGGTAGGTTCTGCTGTTACTGTACTTAAAAATCAGTGTAAACAGTAGTAATCAAAAGATTCTTATATTGGTGGCTCTAGTTTATTTACAAATTTTGTAAGAGAACTTGGATTCTAATAGCATGCACCACTAGCTCTGCCCTTCTGGGGCAGTGATCTGCACTCCATCTGTTTCACTGGTGGATGTGCATACTTATTTTACAAATGCAAAGCAGAAAAAAAAAGATTAAAGCTTATCAAAGCTTGGAGGGGAAGAATGAGAAACAGATGAAACAGACTGCTCCAACCACAGAAGTTGTAACTGCTAACAATGCAAGCTATGCTTGAATAGTTTAAGTACTGCAAGCACTTCTCACTGCATTTTATTGTTTACTATAGGGTCTCACCAGAATGTCCTTTCAGCCTTACACCTACAAACAACTACAGCAAATTATTTCGTCTAGACTGAACAGTGTGAAGGCATTTGAGGAGGATGCAATTCAGCTAGTTTCCAGAAAGGTAAATATAGTACAAATATTATCCTCTGTGTTGAGCCAGGTGAAAGTTATGGGGATGTGAAAGAATTCAGTAACAGTAATCTCAGTTCTGTGGGTGCACATTCTGCTGTGGGGACAAAGTGAGGCACCAGTAGTGGATCCTGCACTGTTCTTTCTTTGAAGTATGCATGGCATTTTTGCAGGAAACATGCAAAGCAGTGTCCCGTTTTTTCCACCTGCTTTGAGAAGGTTACTTAATGATACAATGTCAGCTTTCTACAGTGTTTGGCATAATGAATCATTGGATGGATCTTGGGGGTGGGGGAAGTCTAGTATGCAGTAACAGTGAAAATATCCATATTCATTTTGTCTTTCTCCAGATTTTCAAGGCCTCAGTGTAACCTATTCTGTTTCCAGTCTGTGTGCTCTGTAGTATAAAAAACAAATAGTGCCTTAGGGGTCAATAGCTTCTCAAATTAAGATATGTGCATGGTCTAATGAAAACTTCATTAAAATTGTAAGCTGCAAGTGGGGTTTTAAGAGGTATTTAGTTTCAAAAATTTTGTAAGCCTAAAGTTCTTCGGACACTTGCAAGTGTAAATCCATTATCTCAAGTAGTTGTGAACTCTTCAAAATAATGTTACTTTGTGTATGAAAAACAGAATTTTTGCTTTTTTTGCTGTGAGAATGTGGACTGTGCTAAGGTACTCAAAATGTTTCTGAGAAGTTTTGAATTAAACTGTTCATGCTGAATTTCCTAGATTTTCTAACCTTCTGTGGTTTTAGAAGAAAAGTTCAGTCTCAAATTAGTGGGTGTAGGGGAGTTGCTTTTGATCAGTAAGATCAAAATTTTGACGAATGTTTCAAATCTGGATTTGCATAACACAGTCCACCTGTTGTTTGTTTTTCTGGCCTATTGATTCTACAAGCTGAGAGTTGTTTAGCAAAGAAATATTTTACAAACCTGTCATGTTTACTTTCAGGTAGCAGCACTGTCTGGTGATGCAAGGCGTTGCCTTGATATCTGCAGAAGGGCTGCTGAGATCTGTGAGTTTTCTAGCCAAAAGAGTTCTCATGAGATAGTCAGGATGGCCCACATAACACAAGCCATAGATGAAATGTTTTCATCACCGTACATAAAAGCAATCAGGTAAAAATATTTCTCTGGCTTTTATTTGCTTTTGTGTCATTTTCACTGTGCTATTTTTCAAAAGCCTTCTGTCTATCTTTACGCTCCCTTTAGAGTGCATGTAATGCATTGTGTTCTGCTGAAATACGATTTTAAAAACAATAATGTCAGCACAGAAGAGGGATACAAAACAGAAATGAAAGATGGGAAAACAAGGTGCAGAAATTTCTTGTTTAAAGTTAAATGTTTCCATTTTAGCCTTTCCCTCAGGGATTTTGAGATGTTATGATTGTCCCTGTTTACTGTATTGTGTCTGAAAAATGTTAATTTGTTAATTCATAAATGTAAACTGACTGTAACACATTGCAAAGCATGTATGGAGTTCAATATGGATTCTGCCTTTTTCAGCTTCAGAGGTTCAGAATTATTAAAGGAGGCACAGACTTGTTCTGCCAGCACAGTACACTCACAGTATTATGGCATTACACAGTTCTGTAACTCATAGAGATTTACCATGTTAATTTTTGATCTCATGTCATTCCTCACACGAATGCTTGTAACAAACAAGGATCTGTACAACTAGCAAACCGTGTGGCACTTAACTGATCCTTTAAGCTTTATATTCTGCATGGAATCAAATGTCTTGTTCAGACAGATAGTGAAAGGAGTGAGATGCAGTGCTCAGTATTGTCAGGGTTGCAGGTTGTACAACCCTGGGTTGTACAGGGTTGCAGGTTGTAACACGGGCTGTTTGACAAAATGTCTTGCATATTTCCACTGTCAGGTAGGATAATACTCTGCATTTAAGTGTTGCTAGCAGGTGATTTTCCTCCCAGATTTCTTTCTAAGGGCTCACGAGTTCTGAACTTTGCAGACTGATTCTTGCCCATTTTGTTTTGATGTTCAGGAATGCCTCATTGCACGAACAAATCTTTTTTAAAGCAATTTTAGCAGAGTTTCGTCAGGCGGGAGTTGAGGAGGCAACAGTTCAACAGGTATGTTAGTGTTTTGGGGTACATTTGAATGCACTGTAAAAACTCTCAGGCAACACTATAAATGTTTAAATGCTTGGGATTTGTATTCCTAGAACCTGGTGGAAAACAATATGATAATAAATTGGGTCCCAGTGGTAAGTTGGGACATGGCTGTCCAGCCCAGGTGTGCAACATAATTGGTGCTACCACTTGTAATTGGAAACACCTGCACTTACATTAGCATTACCAGTGGTTTGGCTCACATGAGGAATTTTTTTTCCTCTGTATCTGCAAATCTGTTCTTGAACATCAAAGATTATCTTGTTAGGCTGATCTCTTATACTTTTTCCCCTAGTTTTTCCTTATTGGTCACTTGCCCTGTGTGTTCCTTCTGAGTGGACAGATGGGCGATGAGCTGTACATCAGCTCTTGGGCTGCTGGATCATCTTCATTCCACATAGTCCAGGGAAGGTGTAGTAACAAATGATGGAGTGGAATTGTGGACAGACTACGTTACTACTTTTCTGAAAGAGTGGTCAGGTGCTGGAATGGGCTGCCCAGGGAGGTGGTGGAGTCACCAACTCTGGAGGTGTTGAAGGAATGTTTGGATTTTGTATTAAGGGATATGGTTGAGTGAGAACTATTGGTGATGGGTGGACAGTTGGACTGGGTGATCTCATAGCTCTTTTCCAACCTTGGTGATTCTGTGATTCAGAGATGAGGAGGGAAGGAAATTTCCCTTTTTTCACCTTGGCCCATAGACTGCAGCAGGAGGTCAACTTGAGTTACATCTTTTTTTTAACACCTTTTTTTCCTTCTTTAACAGGTCTATCATCAACACATATCACTGTGCAGAATGGAGGGCATGCAGAGCCCAACAGTGTCAGATATCTTGGCCATTTGTGCCAGGCTCGGTGCCTGCAGGCTGCTGCTGCTGGAGTCCAGCAATAAATACCTTCACATGCGTGTGCGCCTCAACATCAGCCAGGATGATGTCATGTATGCACTCAAGGATGACTAAGGCAATAGAGATTTTATTTCTATATATGTACAAATATTTTAAAGATGGTCTATTTTATTTTTTTTTTAAGTACTGATAAAATAGTAGGTTGTATTTTTAAATATTTTTGTGTGGTGTATCAAAGCACTTTGTACAATAAAGAACTTGCTTTGGAGCATTTTAAATACTTGAAATGAAACAATCTGTTTCAAAAGCACTGTTGGTAAGCAGTCCCCTTCCAGCTGTGGTGTGTGAGCTGGAATTGATTACTGGCAGCAGTGTTTCTCAGCTTATCTCTGTGGAGCTGCTTCTGTTGTGACCAGCCCTGTTGTTGTGGCATTAGTTTTTCTGTTGAGTACAAAAGATGCGTTTGAGGTATTCTTAAATCATTGTTGTTTGTGTCTTGAAAGTGAACTTTACATCTGTTGAATTAGTTGCGTGATGGATTAATTGCTACCAGGGAGCTACGCGTGTGACTGATGGCTTTTGTTGCTTTTAATCAACTTTGTGTATGTTAGCTGTTGAGAATTGCTTTAAAGAAATAACCTCAGCCATCTGCCTGAAACTTGCCTTCAACCTGACACTGCTCCCAGGCCCGTATCCAAGGCTTGAGAACTGCGTTCGTGCTGCATGAATAAAACGTGCCCCGGCTTAAGCTGCAGCTGGTAGCACCCTTCCCCGCCGCACCTGTCGGCTGTTAGAAATCAACGCGCCCAGCCCGCACCTCGCGATACCCGGCAGGCCGCGGCTGTACGGCGCTGCCCGCCCCGCTCCCGGCGCTGCTCCCGGCCCCGCCCACCGCGCAGGCGCACCGCCGTCCCGGAGCTGCGGCCCAGGCGTCCCCGGGCCGGGCGGGCCGCGTGCTGGGGGCGGCGGAGCGAGGCGGAGGTGGGCCGGGTGCCGAGCCGGGCCGGGAGGCGGCGGTCACTTATTAAGCGGCGCTCGGCCCGTCGCCTCCGCCGGCTCCTCCCTGCGCCGAGGGGAGCGGGGCAGCGCCGCCGCTTCGCCCGCCTCCGGGCGGGGCTTCCACGGGCACGAAGCGCGGCAGGGGACCGGCGGCCGTTGCTCGGGGTCGCGGCCCGCTCCGGCTCGCTGGCGCTGCCTTGAGGCTGCCGGGCGCGCTGACGCCGCGCTCCTTGTTTGTGCTCGGCCCTTAGGGACGCGGTGCTGAGGTCCGCCGGCGGCATGCTGGGCAGGAGGCACAAGAAAAGCCCTCAGGCCAAGGGCCGGGGAGCCGCGGTGGCGAAGCAGGTGAGGAAGGCGAAGGGCCGGGGTGCCGCGGGTGGGGCGGCCCGCTCAGACCTCGCTGCTGTCCTGCGGGAGGCTCGGATCTACTTCCAGTTGCCTATGGGTTGTTTTGTGCTTCCTCCTTTAGTGCCTTCTTCCTAAAGCAACGTGACGGGCAGTGTGAATGGAGTACGGCCTTGCGAGGAAGCCGCCGTGCTGTCACACTGTAATCTCTGTAGCAGACCTTATGACTCACATTTAGGGTAGTTTCCTAATCACTTGTTTTGAGATTTGATCATAAATTCAGTCTCTATATTAAATTTCTTCTCATACCTGTAAAAGCAGACGAGTAAGACTAGAATATTAAGTAACAAATTCAGGGGCAGAGATGGGAAAACAGTAAAGCAACAGTTTATTTCCTTCTGTGAGGTTATTCTTCCTTTAACAGATGGACTGATTAGCTGCTGTCACTGCTCAGTAGCTGTTGCTTAATCATTGAGAGCTTAGGTGTGCCTGCAAGTTGGTTCTGTTCATACTCGTTTCATTTGGATGTAGTTTCAGAAGTCTTGATGAGGGAGGCATGAATCTGGTAATGGTTAGCAGGCTTGGGAAGTTCAGAAAAGCATAAAGAAATAAATTTGACCAAGGCAACATTGTGGATGTGGAAATGGAAGTGGTGGAAGAGAGAGAGCGCTCATTGGAGTTCCAAAATAAGTTAGATCTAGAATGGAAGCTGATTAAGCTTTGGAGGAATAGCTGATGCAAAAATAGGGAAATAGGAGAAGAGATTGAAATGGGATCTTAGGTAAGTTACTCTGTTCTGCTGGAACCAGTATCCTTAAACCAGAGGCAGAATGGTTCTGTTAGAGATCTATGAAGTCACTTTTGCTCTAATACAATCATTTGTATTTCTCAGTTAGAGAAGTAGCGTTTAATTACATTTTTTTAAGGAAGGGAAAACATAAGTGATGGAAATATCTTTCCTTCTCTCTAAAAAAAGAAAAAAAAAAATCTGACTAAAAACTATTTTACCAGTTTTTATTTCTATATGGTTACAGCTTACAGCTTGGATTATTTCCTGAATATGCTAAGGGCTTGTTCGCTTGCAAATGATGCGACTTCAGCTATTTCTGAAACATATGAGGGTATTAAAGAAATGCTTGAAGAAGTTGGAGAAAGCCAAAACCGTGCACTTGTTGCAGTAACTTCATTGAAAATGTGCCTTGCAGATCAGATTGAGGACTCAGAGCTAGAACTGCTGGATTCTGTTCTTGACTTCTTTGCTATGCTTGTAGCACAGTTAATCATCAGTTTTTCATGCTGATAACATACGTCTGTCTATTCTGTTGAAGTTGAGTCTTTAGATCACTGTTACAGACGTTTCCTGATAAATCTTGTTTAGACCTTTCCATTCTATACAAGCCTACAAATGAATTGGTTTAGTTTTATAGAAGATGGAAGCAGGCAGGGAGTTCATCTGTCAGTTCAGTACCTTACTGAATGTCAAGGGTAGGACCATGGCTAGCAAACATACAGCTGCTGCTTTGTTCCTGATCCTTGCGCTCAGTGTTTCTCAGCTATGTCTTACCACCTTCTTTGGGGTTATAAAAGAGCCAACAGTACCTTTGCTCCTACAGGATTAAAAAATAAAAGTTGTTATTACTGAATAGCGCTAGTTGAAAAGCTGACAGCCAGCTTCAACCCTTGGCAGCACTGCAGATCCTCCAAGTCAGGGGAAGATTGTTAATTTTTGTAATAATGGTAGCTTTTTTTTTATTCTGATGCTAGAAAGGAGTTGAGCTGCTACCTGCTTGGCTTTGTGAAGATCAGTGCACCAATAGGGCTTTGTGCTTTGAAAAAATCTCAGAAAAGCTGCTCTGTGTGCCTCACATGATGAATGGAATTCAGCTAATTGGTGTTTATTAGAAATAAATCATTCGCAGTCTTTACATCAAGAACACTTTTGTTCCTGGGTCAGATGGATGCTTCAGCAATAGAGCAGTTGTGTCAAAATGGCATTTTAGAATAGCATCTTTCAGATTAAGATTTCAGAGATCTCTCTGATGTTTGTTTTTTGGTGTGTTTTGCAAAATTTAAAAGCAGTCTTCTGTCACATTCTGAGTACTGTTAATAGTCTTCCCTGAGGTGCTGTCACTTAACTACAGTGCTAATCTATTTTGAACACTTGTTTTTCCCAGTATTACTTAGACATTGGTTATGTTTCTGTGTGTACGTTGCCTTTTTTTGGTTGTTTATGTCCTGAGTTAATGAGGTAGAAGATAGTTCTGCATATGTAAATGCAGCTTGTTCCAAAAGACAAGGGTGAAGTCTCTGCTGTGCACATGTCAGACCTGTATTTGCGAATGGTGATTAAATTTTTCTTTAGCCTAGTTGTTACAGGAGCTACCCTGAACTTCCTTGATGATATCTGCTTAATGGGGCTCAGTATAACAGGCATCATTTGGTCTGGTTGTGGCAAGCTATTAGATTTTATTTTTAGAAATCATTGATAATGTAGAGTTTCTAGAGGGAGTATTCATTGCTTATTAAGATTTGTGTAGTGCTTTTCAGTCACGAATGCCTTGTGTGTGTTATTTTGGTGATGAAGTGATGTTATAGTTGGCTTAAAAAGAAAAACAAAAAGAAAAAGAAAAAATGTTTAGCTAATCTATGCAGTGTGATGTTTTTGAGTGTCATTCCTTTCTCACAGCACAACTTTTTTTCTTTCCCTTGGCTCCAGCTGGGGCTGTTTGTAGATTTCAATCCTGAAGAGATGCTGCTGGGTGCAGAGGAAGGTGGGGATGATGGTGACCTAGAAGCAGAGCTTGCTGCTATCACAGGAGCAAAGGTGAAAGAAGGGAAAACCAAACCAAAAGGAAAAAGTAAGTCTGAGTCTCAGGATTTTATCTACTGACAACCTGAATAATTTTTTAAAGATTTATTTGCAACTCATTGCTTTATCTGAAAAGTTTTTGCACCACTTGTAGAAGCTGTATTCACTTTAAAAGGTTACAGTTGTTGATGCAAAAATGTGTGAGAAATTTCTCTGTGTTCTTGTTAATATGGGGAAATCATATATGATGGCTAGCTAATGTAATAAAGACTAAATAAAGGCATGCTTGTTAATTTAGTGCATGGAGTCATAACGTGGTGGTAGGTGCTAGATGAGTTTAAAATAGGAATCATGTTTCTTGTGCAGGCTGGATTGATCGGTTGTTCTTTTGTTTAGAGTGAATTTACTGAATAAGCCTTATATTCTTAGTCACTTGGATACTGTAACTAAAACAAAATATTCTAGGAGAGAGATTCTGGAAGCGTTGGAGTTACTGGGAGGATCTGGTAACTTGTGTTATTCAGGAGGTTTAGTGTTTCTTGGAAAATATAGTTGTTATTGTTAATATTTTACAAACCTACTGCTAATCTGTCTAATTGTGTTTACTTACAGCTGTGCAATGTTTTATAGGTTTTCTGTAAGCTACTGTCAAGATTGTTGCAGAGTAGGGCAGTTTGCACGTGGGCAAGCTCTGCTGCCAAATTAGTATGTTTTTTGGAGGGGCAGGGTGAGCTGGTTCAGGAAACACAGCTATAAAAACAAACTTCTCTTGTTGTGCTAGGTTTTCAGCTGAAACACTTTCTTGGTCTGGTCACTTGCCTGCATGAACACTGCTGTGCTTACAAGGGAGAGGATAGCTGAGCACGTGGTGCAGTAACTGACTCGTAGATTTATATTCTAGAGCTGTGATAGGTAGGGAAGACGTGATCTGTCTGTACCTGGAGGTTGCAGGCAGCAAAATCTGTACTGTCGCAACATCTCAAGTACAGAAATCTCTGCTATCTGCAACCATAAATGTCAGTTGGTCAGCTACTGAGATGCTTGAAATTCTAGCCTCAACTTGCCATACTGGGTTGGACTGGAACCAGCTATCCAGGGAAGCTTAGTTGATGCTTTCTCTGTCGAGGGGCTTCAGGTAAGGGATAATCTGACCCTTGAAGTGCAGCCACTTGCCTGCTGTCCTGATTGCAGTTTTGCTGTAGGTCACATACACTGGCAGTGTGTTTGATAGAGGTACTACAGCACTGATAGAGTAACTTAAATCCTTGAAGCAGAATGAACTTTGGGTTAATTTTCATCTGATTCAGCAAATTCAGGGGAGGGGTGTGATCTCTTTTAGTTCCATTTACAAGGCCAGATTGGATGGGGCCCTGGGCACCTTGGTCTGGTATTAAATGAGGAGGTTGGAGGCCCTG